GGAGATCTTGCTCTCGGTCGTTGGGGAAATGTGGAACAAGGCGATTGTTTCCTATTAGCATCTGATTACTTGAATTGCTTGGTACATATTGTTCAATTAGGAAACGGATTAGTAACCTTTCAATTAAGAGGTCTTGAATTTAGGGGAACATATTGTCAACAAAGAGAAGTTAGTACATATATTATTTTAGACATTGAAAATTCTAAGTAAAATTCTAACTAACACACTCAAATTTAAAAATACTTTAATTTTTAGGTAGAAGCAATCTCTGAAGGAATTGAAGACAATGACAACTGTTGTTGTTGTGAAATGGGACATTTTTCAAACGTATTAAGTGTAAACGCAGCTTTTAGCCAACGTTGGTTAGCGTGGGAAGTTGCAAGTGCTAAATACGTTTTAGAAGGATACTCAATCTCGGATAATTCAGCAGTTTCTATGCTTCAAGTGTTTGAATTTCGTAAAGTACTAGTTACCTATTATGTCAAAAGCATTGTATTTTACGCTGTTAAATCGCCAAAATTGAAATATTGGTTGGAAAACTCCGATATTTCGGATGCCTTGAAAATAACGCTTGACAAAAACTTCGTTGATCTTGATCCAGTTTTTAACTTGAGTATTCATGAAGATTACGATATTCGAACCTGCGGTATCACAAGAAGCAGCTTTTGTAATGTTTATTTAGATTGGATACAGTATTGTGTTACCAAACAAGATAAGGTAGTTTTCCAAGTATACATAAATTATGTTAATACTTATATAGCATTATTTACCCATAATTATTTTAGACATTAGATAAATCAAGGAATTCGCCATTGGTATCTCTATGTCTTGCTTTAAGTCTCTTAGGAAGACGTGTCTTAGGAGCACTATCTCATAACACTGTTTCCAGTGTTGAATTTTTTTTATACGGCTTACATGCTCTTTTTAAAGGTGCATTATTTTATAATAAATAATGAAAAAATTGATTGCGTTTAAAAAAATAATTTTTAAAAAGTATTTTTATATATGTTTAGGAGATTTTCGCATAACATCAGTTCGAGATGAATGGGTTTTACATGATGTTGATTTATTACGAAGTGTCGTAGCCAAAGGCGTAAGAATGGCATTAAAACTACACCAGGATCATTTTATGAGTCCAGAGCAATATGGTGAACCACCTGCTCTTTATGAAGCTATAGATAGTCATGATAAAAATCTCGTGATTAGTCATGAGGCAGATCCACTTTGGAGAAATGCTGTTTTAAATGGTGCACCTAGCCTTTTAGCACTTAGGTATTTTAATAGTGCAATATTTGTAAAAAAATTTAAATTACTACGTCATTAGTATTTATTATTTTCATTTGTAGGCATGTACTTGATGATGGTATTGATGAATATAAAGTGATAATGCTTAACAAACGCTTCTTAAGTTTCCGAGTGATTAAAATGAATCGTGAATGTGTTCGTGGTTTGTGGGCTGGACAACAACAAGAATTAGTTTACTTGAGAAATAGAAATCCTGAACGAGGTTCCATACAAAATGCCAAACAAGCTCTTAGGAATATTATAAATAGTTCTTGTGATCAGCCGATTGGATACCCAATTTATGTTTCACCATTAACAACTAGTTATGCAGAAACTAATGAACAATTGTGTTCCATAATCGGTGGACCCTTAAGTCTCGGAGTAATTAAAAGCAACGTTTTAAAACTATGGCAAAGGTACTTATTATTATGTTATATAATTATAAAAAGATATAATTTATTAATAAAAATGTATCTCATAAAGTTTATTATTATTGTAAGTATTATTTATAGAATCAGAAGAAGATGTGGTCAGGGTTGTTCGTCAGGAGGAACAGGATCTCAAGATGATGGAGGTTTTGGAAATGATGGAGTGTATGCAATGACTACATACAATATTCATTTAGGTATTTTCAATTATAAAATGTTATCTACGTTGATTATGATATAAAAATAAAATTTTTAATGTAGGTTATGGACAATCAGCAGGTCATAACACATCTGGTTCACAATCTATAGAGTCGGGGTGTCAAATTGGTGGATCAACTGGACGTGGTTCTTTAGGAAGAGCAAATACTGGATCTTTAGGTGGAAATAGAGGGTCTTTAGCATCAGTTGGAAAACCTACAAGTTCGACGCTTGCTAGTTTAGCCGGTCTTCTTAGTAATAGTGATATTAAAACAGAAACAAAGAGTGAAACGAGTTTTACAAATAAACTTGAAAAAGATGAAGTCTTACAACGAGTACGCGTAAGTAGAAAATAAAATTTATCTTGATACGTATAGAAATTTTCGTGATCTTTTTTTTTCAGCTTATTAAAAGTAATATATTTTTATTTATTATTAGATCATAGATCCTAATCAAGTATATGATGCTATTAATTTGGGCCGTCGTATCGACGTAATCTGGCCTGATGAGAGAATGAGACAACAGGGTGGTAGATCTGGATGGCAGCATTGGGTACCTGAAAGAGGTATGGAAGGATGCGTTGTTCATTGTTGGTCTCCAAATCATCGTGATCCTAATCGGCGATCTCACGTAGATAAAGTTATCTTACTTGTCAAAATTGATGATAAATATGTTCCAATAGCGGAACAAGGAGTAAGAGATTTGGGAGCAGAAGTATGATGAAGTATTTTTGAATTTCCTGTAGTAATATATATTAAAACAATTTTCGTACAGTCACTTTTTGAATCATGCATCGCAAGTACTAATTATAAATTAAAAATGAAGAATTCATTCCAGTTATAAAATAATAAATACAAAAGTTTTTGATGGAAGATTATTCTTGAAATTGTACATATTGAAAAGCGACGAATTTTAACACTAGTTTCTTAATTCTAATATATAAGAGAGAGAATGCGTTCGTACACCTGCATGTGTATATATACATATATATAGCTACAGAATACTCTTCATTACGTGTTTTTTTTAAATTTTCATTCTCTCGATCTTTTTTTAACTACTTATTTTTGTTATTTTCATAATAATGACATCCCAATAGATATAGTTTTTTCAAAATATTTTCGGATAAAATGAATTTTAAAAATTTATACAAAAGATAGTTAATATTTACCATAATAATTAAAGAATTATTATTACATTTACTGAGAAGACTAACGTCAATCGCCAAGTTATTCAATGCAAAATAAATTGTATCATGTTGTATTATACTATGTATCATATAATGATTAGATGATTTATTAGCGATGAAAACTAGATGTTACTTGTTGTTAACTAAACCTGTTAGTTCAAATATGTTAAAATTTCATTAATTATTTGCATATCATGGTAAATAATTTTATAAAATAAAATCAGAAAAATTCAATTTGGAAAGATTTTCCAATTTACAATAATTTAATGTGAAGTTAAAAAAATAAAAACGATAATTAGTATTTCTAGAACTTAACAATATTATTGTATATTTTTATTTTCAAGTTATAATAGTGTGATTCATGATGACTCTCTAGAAGCAGATATGAGAACTTTAAATCATATTATTTATTTAAAAATGAAAAAAATGTGTTTGTATTGTTACTATTGAATATATTTAATAACAAGTAACATCGAAAGAAATTGTATATATCATTCGTGTTTTTCTACATTTTGTTACATTTTTTTTTAACTATTTGATATATGTAAGTTGTAAATATGCGTAATATTTCTGCAAGATTAAAGCGTCCAAATGTATTTACTGAATGTGTAATTTTGTGGGGCCATGAAAAATCGCCTCTACAGAACATATCGGTGCATTAATAGCAGTGTCAAATGTAATTCCACAATCTTTTATTTGTATATCTTTATTGTATAAAAATCCGGATGATCATAGTGGTGTATTTATGTTTAGTATATGACTCATTATAATTTTCATTAGGAATAATAATTAATAATAGCAAAACAAAACGAAACCAAAACGTAATAAATGCTATTACGAACAAATACACCACAATATTTATCCAGAGAAGAAAAATAAATCTATTATCATTTCTTCTTTTAAGAAAAAGATTCATTGAAAGTTTTCACCTAATTTTGTACATATTAAAATATATATACTGGTTATTAAACTAATAAGAAAGATAGGGTTGCTTGCAAAAATATAAAATACTCGTAAAATAAAATAGAAAAAGAATTAAAATATATTTAACACAAAAAATAAATTTTGCAAGCAACCAAGAAATCACAGCATTGCCTTATCATGGTGTTTCTTGGAAGCACCTGACTGATAAATAAATTTTAGCTAGTCTTTTAATTGTTGGTACACTTTTATGTATCGCTTGCTGCCAAGGGACAAAAAAAAATCTCTTTTACCAGGGAATACATGGATTAAACGTTTTTTATTAAATCTTTGGCCTACTATCTGTAATTAATAGTAATTTCATACATAGATTGTACAGATTTGCTTCAAAATCAAGAATAAACATGAATCTAGAATTCAAATTAAATAACAGTTTGTTTACAATCGTTATATTAGTTAGTTATGCTCTTTCACCTTAGATTTGTATTCATTATATAATAATAAATCATCATCAACTTTATTGCATAATATGCTTTAAAAGAATTTTATTGAGATCAAAGTTGAATCAAGTTAATCTCCTTAATTGTATTCCAATAAGAGATATTTAGATAATGGTAGCAATTATGCAAAGAAAGTAAGTTCCTTAAAATATACTTCAGTTTGAAAATAGATTTAATTTAATAAGTACAATTAATGTCACGAAACTGTAGATTAAAAAGGCCGTTATATTAATTAATATAACATATATGTAATACGCAATCGATTAAAAAATCATTTTATAATCATGTTATAATATATACATATATATATATATATATATATATA